CCTCTAGTATTACTTTATAAGCTATACACATTCTTAGCCTGCATTGATAGTCACTGGAGAATGCATAATGCATTTATATAAAATGACAATTGCTTCAGCTTTAGGCCTGTGAAGAGGTAAACGAGTTCATGTAAATTACAGATCCTAGCAAGCACTGTACAAAATAACAAAAGATGCTTTCAAGGATGGAAAAGAGTGCTGTTCAGTTTTCTATTGTGTAGTGTGCCAAGTTTTGAAATTTATCATGAGCTTTGTATTAAACAGAGCAAGCAAGATAAGGTTATATTATATATCTGGGAGAAAAAAAATCATACAATATTGGTGGTTAGTAGATATGTGTCAGTTAAGATAGATCTTAAATCAGCTGTCAAGCAGATGGCTGACTTTGGAATTTGGGATGTTACCAAAAAGAAAAGAATGTTGGTTATGAATGGAAATAACTTGGCTTTATTTGGTATCTGGCTATGAGTTTCATTGGGTACAGATCAAAATTATTTTGCTAAATTAAGTAGTGTCTTGAACTATGTAAAATGATTTTAAATTGTATCATTGGGTGAATCGGACACTTTTTGCCAGTGTATTGGACAATGATCCAATTTACTGTAGGTAACTCTTAATTTTCTTCTAGTAAGACATGAGCAACAGTCTCTTTTTATAGAGTAAGTGCCATTTTCCAATTTCCTTGAGGAATTTCTTTCCTTTTAGCAAGCAATTTGTTACACTGATAATAAATATTTCAGGCAATACTCTGTATTTTCATTTTTATGCTCATTCCTTTTAGGCAATAGTCCACATTACTTTTGGTTTTTAGAGTCACAAAGTCATTATATTTCATCTGATTCTGTTGCTTCATTGTTTTGCCCAATGACTAGCATTGATGTATAAATAAGAAAGGAAGAAGTGGGTTTCTCATGGCATGTAGCAGTGAATATTTATTATGATCTTCAGTGCAAATCATGAATTTGCATGGTGAGGACTTCTGCCTTTTTAATAAAAAAATCTGGTAAATGCAGAACATATATTCTTTCATGTCCTATAAAGACATATTCTTCTTCCATAAGTGGGGATCAACTATCCTTGGATTCAAAGTGAAGAGCATGCTTATTGCATTATTGGGATTTCTGAAAGACATTGTCTTCTCAGCAAAAGCTGCCCACTTGTTAAAATTATTGATGAAGGTCTTTTTAGTTGTTTAATCTTTTTATCCATTATCCATTTTACTTTTTGACATGTAAGATCCTAGCAAAAGGTATCACCCTTGCAATGGCAGATATATATGATTACCAAAGTCCTCCACAATGTCCACCTGTGTGCCAAGTTTAGCAAAATCTATGTAGCTACCCATTGGATGCCTTTTGTGGGGTAATTTTCTCTGAAGTGTTCTCTTCCGAAGTTTGTGAAATGCATAGTATTAGATCCTTTAGGAACCTGCTTGGACTGTCTATCTGTCTCACCACATCTTACTTATATGAATTTTGGATGTATGATACAATGTTGGTTTCCTTTTTGGTAATATGTTTTATATTCTTTAAATTTATAGCTGCTTTTAGTTTGTTTTAATTATTTGATTAATTATTTAATTTTTTTTCCAGACACACTTTAAGATGCAGTATGAGGAGCAGTATAGATTAATAGATTAACACGTTGTTCCTTGCACTTTAAGCAGAAGTAGATGAGAAATGCTTATTGAAAATAAAAGATTACTGATCTACAGAATGGTATCAATGCTGACTACTCCTGTGTAGGCTGTATCTAATATTGTATCAGTGAACTTTCAGTCGTATAACCAGATCGTATAACTATATAGACCATTAAAATGGACTTACTCTTAAAAAGTTTCCAGAAGTGCAGTTAATTATATCACATAGAGAAATTGGATAACATCTGCCTGATTCCCAGTTGCTCACAAGGCACTGTATAACTTATAGGCTTAATGTTTAAACCCTACATGGCTTGCATTTCTAATATTACAAATTTATTTGTGCATTAGGATCTACAGGACAGGTTTTTCCCCCCAGAAATTTCCTCCCTTCTGTATCAAAGGGTCTATATCAGGGGTCCCCATGGACTGGACGCGGCACTAGTCTGCAGCATCCCAGAAACCAGGCTGCCCATACAAGCGAAGCCCTATCAGCAGGATGCAGGCAGCACACAAAACCACGCCCCCTTCGGTCTGCGGAAAAACTTGTCTCAATGGAACCAGTGCCCAAAAGGTTGGGGGCTGCTGGTCTATATGGGAAATGACCTTTTCTTGAGCTGGTCCCAAGCTGTGAAGCAATTGTGGATGAAGACAGATTAGTTGCCAATAAGTAAATAAATAAAGCAGATACAAGACCTTAGGTAATAAAGACATCTTGATATCAGCAATATGTCCCAGAAACGAAAATTGATCTCAACTTCATATGAGCTCACAAGATATAATTTTACATTACAAGATGTAACTCATTTTATTTAATCTAATTAATTTAGTGGACATTTTATTTCCCCATGTTGTAATTACTTACAATGCTTTATATTAATCATAGACATTAATTTGGGAGCTATGTATATCTAAATGAACAATTATGGTGAAGCTCTTATTGTGAAATACTCTAAATTACAAAAAAATATCTAAATCCAAAAAGGGATTTGATTGTGTAAGTATTAAATGAGATTATTTTTCCCCATTTGATACTTATATACCAGTTTAAATAGATAGGGCCATTATAGTTGGTCAAAAGCTTTTAACGTTTAAGATTAAAATGACTAGTGCATTTTTGGTGCATTTCTCATTAAAAATACAATTTAAAATTCTAATAGAATCTGCTATTTGTCCATCTTTAGTAAATCTATCTTGATCCAAATTTATATAATCAGTAGTTAATTTGCTTGATCTTTTGACCAAATAAATTATAAAAGTCTTTTGATTTTATTCAAAGTACAGTTGGCTGATAAGATTCAGCTCCGTTAGTTTTTGGTATCATAATTAACCACTTGATAACATGAATCAGAGATGTGATTATCCTGCAGTACTGAGTCAAACAAAAGAATGAAAATAGAGGGCAATTATTTTTGGAATAATTTGATAAACAGTTACAGTAATATTATCACTTTATTTAATTACTTGTTATATTTCTTTGGAAGATGGTTGCAATATGTTCTATGAGCTGCTTGCTAGGAGTGACGGTAATTGAGTGTAGAAAATCATTTATTTAAATGTACATGCTCTGATGAATACAGTTAGCATAAAGCTGTATACTATATATATATATATATACACACACACACACACACACACACACACACATACATACATACATACATACACACACACACACACACACATTTCTCTCTGAATATGCTTTAACAGAGTTATTTTAATCTATGAAGCTTTCTTTTTTAATTTATTTGCTAATAAGTCATATGCCTTATTGCCATGCTAAAATTTCTGTTAAATACATATCTACTTGGAGGCAATTTTATTACATTCCAAGACATCTAATCCTCTTCTCTTTCCCTCTAATCCTCTTCCCCTTTGAATCATTTTTATTAATGTCTTTATAACCTATATTTCTATATTTTAACTCTACTCTCTTCTTTTAAATAAAGCAAAAAAGAACACACAATAATTAACATTATCATTAAAATTATAATTAACATTTCTTAATAAAACACTAGTTTTTAATATGTGTGTGTGTGTGTGTAAACATATGTGTTTGCATATGTTAACAGAACAGCTATATAAGTAGTACTAAAATATAGAAGGCTATATATTTTCATAATGTAAAACCTATATTATGCCAATTGGTAGGAAGATTCCAGTGGTTGCATGGAAAAATAGGTATTATCTCTGGAAGCTATTAAATACATGAGAATTATTCTCCCCAGGAAAATATTTACTTTAGTAGGTGAGAATATTTAAAAATACATTATCCAAATGAAACATATTGAAGAGAACAATAAGAAATAGCCCTGTTTATGCAGGATAATTAGTGTTGTGAAAATAAATCTTTCCGGCAAGATAGATACATATTTTTAAAGTAATGTTTATGTTGATTCAACATAAATATTTTAGACAAATTGATAAGCTAATGGTTAAATTCTCCTAGAAAGAACAAACATTTCAGCCTCTGAGGTCTTCCAATGGCAGACCTCTCAGTGATTGTTTTGAAACAGCAGCATTAAGTAAGAGATTTCTGGATTCCTATATATCAGTTTCAGGTAATCTCAGAAAGTCTTAATTAACATAATAAGTTTTTAACATATTATAGTTGTTAGATGATAGGGTTCTTATAATCTGTCTTGAATGTAATCTGCATTGGCATAATCTTTTCCTTCCCCGCTTCATCCTAATTTAAATTCTATATCAACCTAGCCACTGGATCTGATGAAGTGAAGTGTGGAGCTTATGTTTTTAAATAAAATTAGTTGAAAAAGATACTATCAGAGTTCTTCAAACTTACAAAAGATTTAAAGCAGGGGTGTCTAACTCGTGTCGTCACAGCATCATCACGTGACGTATCAGGACTTCCCCCCCTTTCACTAAGCCGGGTGTGGGCGTGGCCAGCGTGTGACGCATCTGGCCCATGGGCTGCGAGTTTGACAATCCTAATTTAAAGTCTGGAGACTAATTGTCATTTCAGGCTTAGACAGCTTAACATAGGTTAAACTTGCTTGCAAAATTAGGTTATAACGATTCTTAAGTAAAACTGGGTTAATGACAAGATGTTTACATTTTGAAAAAATGTGCAGTTTGTTCCTGCATTTTGATACACACTTCAAATGGAAGAAGATTTTGCTTGCCTATCTTGCCTATTGGTCATTAGTTTTGGTGGAATGGAATACAGAAATAAAATGAAACGTCTGCAAGTAAACAAGCTCAGAGAGCACCAAGGATTCCGCAGTACAGAAACGGATTTATCTCATATTTGTATATAGTTTTGTTGCGAAAAATTTTGTATGTAAATTTTGACTTGTATATTGTGACAATCATCCATTAATCTTTTAATATATGCTTTTAGACTTACAGAATTTGAAGATACACCTGCAAGTCAGCTAACAATAGATGAGTTCATGACCATTGACCTGGAAGAGGAATGTGATCCTCCTTCATTTACAGCTGGTCAACGAAAGATAAAGATTCAACAGGTGAATTTTTCAGTTGTTCATTTCCCTAATTCTTAATTCCTTTTGTAATAGGAGTTATAAAGCTCTGCCATGCTATCTTCATAATTTTATCCTTCACTCTTTCACATCTGAAGCCCAAAGTGACAAAAAATCCCATACGTATAGTATAAGCATATGTAACACCAGTAAACTATGTAATAATGTCTTCAGTTCCCTCACTGCATCAGAGTCTAATTCAATAAAAACATTCTGAAAAACAAAAAGTATCAGAATCTGCTTAAATTCTTTTCCACTTATCTTGATCATTAAAAAATTTGTTATTTTTTTGGGGGGGGGATTTCTCTTAAAACACTTGAGACTTTTGCAAAACAGCTGTCAGATCTTTCTAGCAGCAATCATAACTGGAAATGAACAATTGAGGTTCAAGTCTTTCTGAGCTTTGATCAGTAAACAATAGTACAAGAATTTCTTAAACTTTTGCTTCAAATATGAATACACACACCCACACACGTACATGTGCACGCACACAAAGACACAGGCACACACACATACAACATTCAAAGCAGTTAGCCAGTTGCTTTTTTTTCCCTTCTGTGTCTGTGCCACATAGTGGAGGAAACTTCTCTTTTACATCTGGATATTGTTTATACAATGGCAACAAGATTCTTATCAGAATCCACTGTTACAGTATCACTCCCAATATATCATCTGATCCCATTTCGATGTTTCTTCCCTAATGTACCGAATATACACTGCTCAAAAAAATAAAGGGAACACAAGCAGAAGACATCCGAGATCTGAATGAATGAAATAGCCTTATTAAATACTTTGTTCTTTACATACAGTAGTTTATACACTGCTCAAACAACTAAAGGGAACACAAAACTACTGTATGTAATGAACAAAGTATTTAATAAGGCTATTTCATTCATTCAGATCTCGGATGTCTTCTGCTTGTGTTCCCTTTATTTTTTTGAGCAGTATATAAGAAAGGCATTTCTCAGCCACATTAATGGGCTTCCATTAGGTCAGTTCTGGGTCCTTGGGTCAAACAGGGATAATGTTTTTATGGAGGAGAGTTGGCAGTGGCTGTTACAGAGAGGAGTCGTGTTTTGCCTCTTAGAGGAATCATCCATGGACTTGGAGGTTTTAGATAAGATCATCAGGTCTCCAACTTTCCCTTTATTTAGGGATTTTTATTTAGTTTATTGAAATGATAGTAGTGGAAAAAACTATGGCATATCCTAGATGAAGCAGTTTACCTAAACCCTTTTCAATCAGGATTCTGGTCTGGGAATGGAATAGACAAAGCCATGGTTAATTTGGACCTGGTCCTCTTAGATCTCTCAGTGGGTTTTTTTTTTTTTTACATCATTGACTATAGTGCTGTTGTTGATCTAGTACTGTACTTGATAATTTTGAGGCACTGTTTTGCCGTGGTTCCTCTCCTTCCTCAATAACAGATTCAAGTTAGTGGTGGTAGAGGCTGAGAGTCAGCCCATTAATCTGACAGATTTGTGGAATTCCACAGGGTCAGTCCTTTCTTGCTTTTTACATCTAAGTGAAGCCACTGGGTGAGGCCATCCAACTATTTAAAAACGTCTGCAGAGCCAGTTCGGTGTACAGCCAGTCTGATATATTTGGAGTTTTATCATTTCATTGCAATTTCTAAGTCTGTATTTAAGCAGTTCTGGATTCTTCTTCTCTGCAACTGATTTATTCAAATAGTCAGTCATTGATTCTGATGACAAGAGGTTTATGACAACAAAGTTCTTCTGTAGATCTGAGATAGCGGCCCATGCTTGCTAGGTATCAATTGAAGTTCTCCTTTCATGTGAACTGTCCAGTTGATCATGGAGATGCTACCTTGCTTGCAACTGATTTTCTAGAATTAGATTGCAGTACAACATGACAAACAATGTGACTTCACTGGGAATCCCCTCAAGATCTCAGTGATTGAAAGCTGTCAGATTAAGAACTCATAGTCTTGGATTTATTGGGAAAATAATGTCATGAGGAGGAACTCTTCTGAAGAATCTGTAAACTCATTCGAATAGTTGAATCAGTAAAGTCATACTTAAGGGCATCATTGAATTATACTGTGACATTGTTCTACCCCAAAGTCTCATTTAAGTTAACATAACTGGGTCATCAGTCTATTGTTTCACTGAAGTGTTAGGCATATTACTGAAATTTTTAGTCTTAGCACAAAGTTTGACATTTACATTTTCTCTTTAAGAAACAAGACATACCTCTTCCCAAAAATCTTGCCAAGAAAATTGCAGTTTGTCAAGTAAACTCTGAGATACATCCAAAGTTGAATGAAATTAAAAATCATTAATCTGATTGGCAAAAGTGTTCATCTGCTGAAAAACTGTCACAACTGTTACTGGTGGTTTTACTGGAGTTATTTTGCAATTCTCCTAAACATTGCAAAGTCACTTCATATGTAGTGGCAAATGTAATCTGATATACAAGAGTTGGTATTTTTCTTATGATACCATACTTGTAAACTTGTTAATTGCATGTAGATTCTTCTCTTATGTATGCCACATTCATTCTTCTACCCCAATTAGCAAAGGCCACAGCTGGAAAGGTATTTGCTTGATAATTAGTTCAACTCCCCCGCTTCCAAGTTCTCCTTTCATTAAAATTCTGTGTTTTAACTGGTCCAGTTTAAAATAAGCATTGCTATTAATTATGATCAAATTGCATTGGAGTCGTTCCAAAATGTTGCTTGCCAAGACATGCAGACTGTCACTGAGTCAGTTTTCTGAGATAGATATTTGTGAACAATTATTAATTTTGCATACAAATTATTACAGCTGTTAAAAAAAATAAATTTTGGGGCTGGATTGAATTTCCCTCTAGAATATTTTCTATAGAACTTTGGGTATAGATATTCAAAATCTAGTCTTTATTTATGACATATAGAAAGGTTTTTTAAAAATCTCTGTCAGACCTTAGCTGAACTTTATCCTGTTGAATGTTGGTGAATATACTTTAACATGGAATGCCATCATAAAGAATTGGAGCTCATTCAAAAGGATTTTTGCAAAATGAGCAAAGGAGGAGGAAAAAAATGTATTTACCATTAGGTAATTGCCACATCTGTAAAGCATTTTCTGATGAAAATATGTAGCAAGTGGCAAACTTCTCAACTGTAGTCTTGCTCCTGGAAAGTAATACCTGCCTGGCAATTAAACTTAAGGGGGAAAATAATTGCCAACAATGGACTTTCAAGGCTCTAGGGAATATATTTGGAGCTGAGGAAAATATTCAGAAGGCTGAAGCCCCAAGGGCACAGGCCTAGCAACATCAGTAGATAATAATACTGCCTAATATACTTAGGACAAAAATTTCTAACATCTCTTTTCTCTTTTCCCTATCCAGCTTGAGAAGGAATTGTCAAAAAAGCTTGAAGAATTAGAAGGTAGAGTATATATTCTATCAGTATTTTTTCCCCAAATTTTTATGATCACTTATCTAATCAGTAGAAATCTGTCATATCCCTTGTTTTGATCTTTTTGACAGTTTTCTATTGTCCTAGAAGAAATGGTTTGCAAGATATTATAACTCTTAGCCCAATACCAGATCTCCCTTTAATAACAGTGAATCAACATGTTTAATGTTAATCGTCAGAAAATCTGAGTACAGTTGTCATCTATTATGGTGTTAGTTTATCTGGAAGATTGTTCATTCCAACTAATTTTCTAGTTAATGTCATGTATTTGCCTCACTGGAGAGCCCTTTCTTTGGTCAGATTAACTGTTCTGCCATCCATGTTAATAACATCGCAGTGCAAGAGCATTTATGCCTTTACTTGGTGGGGGAAATTGAGACAATTACACATGTGCTGCTCATTCTATGTGGCCTGGTGCACAGACTTTCATAATACATGTCCTGATAGACATCCTTAGAAGGATTCTTAAAGTCTTTCTATAGATTTTGGGTTTTTAAATGAGCAGACATAAGACAGACAGACATGCTTTTTAAATAGGCTAAAGAAATAGGCTAAATCTAAATTGATTTAATTGTTAGAGAGTTTCATTTTTCCCGTTCTTTCCTTTTTTATTGTCCTTTTTTATATGTAACCGACAGATGGTCTTTGACTATAACTAAAGTTTATTTACTTTTCCTTCATTTCAATTATGTCCAATTTCCTTTGCCCACTAGTGATTTTTCTGTTTCTGGCAGGTGAAATAACAAGCTATCAAGATGAAATAGAGAATGAATTAGAAAATAGCCGGCCCAAAGCAAAAGGAGTTTATGCAAATTACAGCAAGGATGGTAAGTTGATCTGAAATCCATTAATCAGGAATATGCTTAAATATGAAAATGATTCTATGGCAGTTTGGTAATAGAGGCATACATTCCACAAGATTGATTTAAAATACGGCAAGAGTAGGATAATGTAAAAAAAAAAAAGAATCCTTTAATATAGCCACCTGCAACCTAGAATCTCAAGCTTTTTCATCACTGCCAGCTATTGGAGAGGTGAGTTGGTGGAATGTTATTTCATGGGAAAGGGAGACTGAATTTGATCTATGCTACTACTGGCTACCTGACCTAAGAACACTGATTTCCTTCCCAAGTATCTTGAAAATGGAATTCCAACAGCTGCTAGAGGAAGGGACAGGGAAGGCGTGTGAGTTGGTGAGGGCAGGCTACTGCAACTATGCAGCTATGGAATTATGCAAGTATGATATATAAATAGCTTCATTTTTGTCCTGAGCCTTTTGGCAGACTTTCAGCTTTGCAAATTAACAAATACTTTAAAAAATGCATTTTTTACATTTGGCAATATAATGTTTGATTTCACAATTTAAAAATAAATAAAATAAGTGAATAAAAATCAAACGCCAAAATTTTTATTTTTTATAGTTCAACTGGTCAGGAGACTTCTGAGTGAAAATATTTTGGATCAAGAAATTGCTATTGTCCCAACACAAAAAGTGAATTTTGGAAAGCTGAAAATGGTGGAGGCATTTAAGTGAGTTTTAAATGGTTGAATGCCAACTCCTTGAGCAGCTACTTGGGGAAATCACTTGAGCTATACTGTGCAAACACTTTTGTATGAAATTATAACATTTAAGAGAACAGTGTATGATTTTATTTATTACAAAAGTACTTCAATTTAACAGAACATTGCGGGAAAATATCTGTGCATTATTTTATTATAGGAGTCCTCGACTTAAAACAAAGGGGTGAAATCCAGCAGGTTGTGACAGGTTCTGGAGAATTGGTAGCGGAAATTTTGAGTAGTTCAGAGAACTGGCAAATACCACCTCTGGCTGGCCCCAGATTGGGGTGAGAATGGAGATTTTGCAATATCCTTCCCCCAGGAGTGGGGAGGGAATGAGGATTTTGCAGTATCCTTCCCCTGGACTAGGGTGGGCATGGAGATTTTGCAGTATCCTTCCCCTGCCATGCCCACCAAACCACTCCCACCAAGTCACGCCCACAGAACTGGTAGTAAAGAAATTTGGATTTCACCACTGCTTAAAACCATTCGTTCAGTGACTGGTTGAAATTACGGCAGCGCTGAATGAAAGGAACTTATAGCTTTTTCTCAGAGTTACAGTTATTGCAGTGCTCCTGCAGTTATTTGATTAAAATTTGGGCACTTGGCAGTTTTTCCTGCACTTATGATTGCAGGGACACTTCAACTCCTTCCCCCCATCTATCTCCCCTGCCATCTATGTTGGCTCCCTACACTCTGCATCACCTGTGGCTCTTTGCTGTCTCCTCATGCCCAGCCTGGCCCTTCGCATGAGGCTTTCTACCTCATTGTGCATGGCAGTTTCCTCATGAGTCCTGCGGAAGATTACTTCATATAGTCAGCAGTTGTCTCATGAAGGGCCAGCATGGGCACACCTTGTTAGCAGCCAGAACAAGAAGACAGTCAGGTGGGAAGGGAGAGCGCAGGGATGCAGGTGTCTTGGAGTGCAGGTTGGTGAGAGCAACTGGGACTGGGATTGGGCTGGGGTGGCTGTGGCTTTGCACCATGCTGCTGGGATCGCTGAGGCTTCCTGGGGTGGCTGCAACCTCATACCATGTTATACCATGGTACGTTATGCTGCTGGGCTGGGGTGTCTGGGCTGCAGCCGGAGCACGCTAAGAAGTCCCTGAGCAACAGCCTGGCAAGCCCCAGAGCTGTCTAGTTCTAGGTCTGCTTGCCATCCTGCAAGGCAGGGTGCAGGACAGAGAAAAGGGTAGAGATAGAGTGGGAATAGGCAGTTGGGAAGAGTTGAAGGGGAGGCAGGCTCAGAATTGGAAGAGACCAAGTCTAAAATGTCTTGGAATGGGGTGGGTAAATTGGCTAATGACAAGTGGAATCTGGTTAATGATGGCAATAGGAAGTGCTGAGATTGCCATAGCTAAGTGGTGTGTCACATGACATCACACTTTATGACTGCATTGCTTAGGAATGGAACTTCCAGTCCCAATTGCTATCATATCTCAAGATCTACCTTTAATTTGATTTGAGTTGATCCTAACCCCTGAACCCAAACTCTACTACTGCCTGCCTGTTGTTTGAAGATGCCTCCTTCAGCTCTGTTGCTGGTTTTAGGCTTATTGTATTTTAGGTTTATTCTATCTTTATGTACTTTCTCATCCTTGTTATGGCTTATAACATGCAGTGACATAAAGATAGCCAGATTGGCAGCAAATCCATGTGCCATTGCATGTCAAGAAAGACTTAAAGCCAATCTCTTGTTATTTAGGTTTTGAAGTTATTAGAAATTGTTTTTAAATGCTGTTTTAGTGTTGATTTCATATTTTCATATATTGTATCAACTAAATATATACTTGCTTTATTAAGACTATTCTTAATAAATAATGCTATAAATAAGATTTCCCCCCAATACATATTCTGTGCTGTTGATGTACATACTAAACCCTTCAAGCTTTCTAAAATTTATGCTGACTTGCATATAATATGAAGTAACAATCCTTTTCTGATACTGTTAAATTGCGTTTTCCCTATTTTCCAAAGTTCATATTTTTATATGGGGTGAGTCTTGGGAGCTGATTGTGGCTCAGTGGTGGGGCTGTTGCTCTTCCTATTTTTATTATTTTAGCAATAATGGTAATCAGAGTGAGGGAGGCTGTCAGTCAGAGCTAAAACTATGCACAATTAAGGAGTACTTGGTTACTGAATCTTATTTCTTTAATGGCCCCACTACATGGTTTAGATTTCAATTCTTAGAATAGTACTTCATTATCGAAGTGCAATAATTCACCTACAAGATGTAGAAGAATTAATTCCTAATAACATCACTCATGTTCGTAAAGCAGGCTCCGCACCAGTTATCATGAGTTCATTCAACTCTGGAATTCTGCCTATGTCTTCAAAGGAGAAGTGGTATTGCATCTCCTGGCACTAATTGCCATTTTGATGAAAGTGTCAGCTCTACAAATGATTCTTTCCTATTGCAAGGATAAGTTTAAATGTACCACCTTTCCAACCCCCCAGCCCCCAACCTTCTAGTCCTGTCACTGTAATGTTTTTTGTGGATCTTGGGAGCTAAATTGAAAATGAGAAAAAGTTTGGTTGCCAGCCATAAAAAGTCCCCTGCCCGTTTAATATTAAGTAATGACTAAGTGGTTAGTAGCATTCAGAAGCCTATTCAGATAAGTGGATATACTTCTGCAGAATGTAAAAGCAAGATCCTGAGTGAAAAGATATATTTTGAGACCTTAATAAGGAGAAGCCAACACAAACCCCTCTAGTTGCAGTTCCAAAATAGAGGTCTCACCAAAGAAAAGTACTTAATTGTTCCTGTTTTGAAGGAACTAATCATTGGCATGAAATATATCCATGTTAATTACATTATTAGATAGTAAGCTGGATATCTGAGTACCAGTTCAGTATAGTGATTAAGGCATCAGGCTAGAAATCAGAAGACTGTGCATTCTAGTCCTGCCTTAGGCATGCTGGGTAATTTTGGGTCAGATACTCTCTCTTGAGTAAACCCACTTCATAGATTTGTTGTGGGAAAAATAGGAAAATAAATGAGTATGAATATGTTCTCTGCCCTGAGTTATTTATAAAACAAATAAAGGTGGGATAAAAACCAACCAACCAAACAAACAAACAGACAGACAGACAGACAACAAACAAACAACTTAGGATATAGTATTGCTCAAGTGATGTGAAGCCTGGCTCATATCTCAGTGATTTTGCTTAAAATCCACTACATTGAACTCTCAGGATATTTCAGTATTTTACAGTTGTTATTCCATATGTTTTTTCCAACTGTAATTGGAAAACTGGTCTAATTTGAACCTGCTCCTAGACAAGGGAGTAAATGTAACACTCTAAGCTACATTAGATAATGAACTGTCTGCAGCAAGGACATCATTTCTGGGATCTCCTCACATGGATTACTCTTTTCCAGGATGAAACTCCTACTGACATTATACAGTATGTGGTATTACACAATCTGTTAAATATTATGAATATGTTGCTATACTTGATATTGAGTTTCATAAATGTTCTGTTTATAACTGGAATTTGAAATAATATTAAAACATGGTTGGACACAATTTGCTAATTTGGATGGGACCACTGTCAGCCTACTTTCCCAGACACATTGAGTTGGCAACGTGGAAGCTTCTGGTGCTAATATGGCTTCCAAAACTGACAACCACATTGGGAAAGATTCATACAGTATATGTTTGTTGATGCACTGCATAGAGATTGCACACATTAATTTGCAGAAGAAATGAGCTAGACCTTTTGGCTTTCTGAAGATACGACTTTGATCCTTTGACAAGCACAGATCTGTTGAAAGGTAGAAAAATAATTTTGGGAATATTAAGAAACTCATAAATAGCGTATCGAGCACTTAATTTTATCATATCTGATAACATTTGATCCTCTGTCATTAAAGATTGCATAGAAGATACTATTTCAAGCATATTTGGAGATGAGGATGGAGAAGATGAAGAACTAGCAGCAGCTGCAAATCATCTGAACATGGACTTTTATAATGAACTGCTTGATAAAGACAGATCAAAGGAAAAAGAAATTTCTGTAAGGCCATCTGCTCTGGAATCACTGCTTGGACCTCTTCCTACTGCAGCCAGTCTTGGAATAACAGAATCTATAAAAGAATGTATATTGACTAAAGACCGAGACCATAGTAAGTATTAATTTATTTATAAATTATTCATTTGAATAATCACTGAATTACAATCCTGAAAAAGTTTGTGAACATTAAATGTGGGTTTTTCAGGGCACTAGTGTTCGCATTTTGTAGCATTTAGAAATGTTGCAGTTTTTTTTAATTAGTTCCATAGCTTTTCTTTTTATTTGACATGTTTTCATTAATTGCTGGTGTTTATTCTTTTCAAAATAGATTTGTTGGCTTACATTGTACATCTGTGGTTTTCATATAATGAATAAAATGTGGTTTTCTTCATCCCCTGAAAATGATTAAAACCCTAGTAAGGAAAGAATTAGTTCTAACAGAAGAGAATATAAAGCATGTCACTCAGGATTGAACTGAGGAATTTTTGATGTTCTTTGAGCTTGGTTGTTTGCTTGCAGATTTTTCGTTGCCCAACTAGATAACATCACTGGTGCCTTATATTTCACATTTTCTGGGTTTTACTGTTCCTTCGTAATAAATGCACTTACAGTCTGAAGACTCATGAATATCTCTGGGCTATTTGTAGGTTCTCATATGGCCTTGAGGTTGATTGGTAGAATGTTTAGCATCCCCCATCTCTGTGGAACACTCTACCACCGGAGATGAGACCTGTTCCCACCCTTTTGGCCTTCCTGAAGGGTATTAAAACTTGGTTTGGCCAGTTGGCTTGGAGCCACAAGGGAGGTGCTCACCACTGGTTGATGGGGTTAGAAGATCTCATCCCCATGGTGTATATCTCTTGGTCCTGGTTTTATGTATAGTTTTAAAATTTTAATTTGCATAGTTATTGTTAAGGAAATTCACAGAGCAACTCTAGAGTAGCAAGGGTGTGCACATGAAAGCGATTGAGAACAGTTGCGAAAAAACAGCCAACGCACAGATACACTGAGTTGTGTTTACTTTTTAGGAAATAGTAATAAGGCACAGTCCAATAAACAGTCCAGGTCATACAGTAGATAGTAAAACAATAGTCCAGGGATAATCCAATAACAAAGTCTTCTTACCATTCGTCGTAGTCATACACAATAAACAGTTGCAAACAGTAGCAAACACAGCAAAGAGCAATAATGATTAGCAAAGAGAAACAAACCATGTTTCAAGCTCCCTCTTAAGGACATTGGCTACAGAGCTAACCAGTCAGGACACAGTATGATGCAATACAGCAATACAGTCTTAAAGATATATTGAGGTTTTATATATTGCCAACTCAACAAGTTAGGTAATTATCATTTCCTAACGTTTATAATATTTTAATTGCTTTTCCATTTATCTTTTTATGAGCTGTAAACTGCCCAGAATTGCCCAGTAGGGGAGATGGGTGGTATATACATGTAATAAATAAAAATAATAGTAATTTTATTATCTGATACTTTTATCATGACCTACTAGGGATTGCCTATAATTCATTATAGCTTTCCAGTTGTACATAGAGGTACCCTACACAGAGGTACCCTACCTACAAAGAAACAGAAATCTAATTTGGACCTCATTAAAGTAGCGGGTTGTCCAGGGAACAAAAACAGGATGCTGGAGATTATAGATTTGTATGCTGAGCCAAAAAGATGTCCCAATATTTTTGGAATCAGACACATCGAAACATAATATTTCTGGAGAATAAAGGGCAGCAGCAGACAAGCCAATGGTGTAAAGTAGATAAACCTGAGTCATACACAGGCTTTTCCTCCATTTAGAGGGAAATTATTTTCAGAGTATATTATGCCTCTTATAGAGTTTACACTCAGTTTTTATGTGTTTCCTCCTGTCAGAATTGTGAGAAATTATATTTACAATTTTAGCAAGAGTTGTCAGCTTTCCTGCACATGCACACACAAACAGGGCTGAGGACTATATTGCTCACCTCTTTTTTATATATCTATTTTGAACCAGACATACTGACAGATTAGCTGACTGCAGATGCAGAAATTCTGCCTTGTTTAATCAAGTGTGGAGTGTAATAGCTGTGCTTGTTTCTTGATTCCACTTTCAGAATCAGTATATGGTACCTGTTGTTTTCTGCAGCCATTAATTTCCTTCTCATTTTTGTGACTTTCCATGACAGTGTTGTGTCCTTTTATCATCATCACTTTTTACACTCCTATCCCTGCTCCACACCCTTACCCTTATTAAAGGTGCCTTTTCATCTTCAAAAGCTCCAGATCTGAGGCTCAGGTAGGCTGCATACCATCCATTATAAATGTTTAAGAGTAGTATAAATCTATAGAGAATTTTTTAGTGCCGTTTGTGTACTATAGAGCAGCTTTCTTCATCTGGTGGCCTTTGGTATGTTGGACAATTCTCGAAGTCATACTAGCTGAAAATTCTGGAGGCAGTGGTTCAGTACACATGGAGTCTATCCTAACAGACTAAAACAAGAGAACTCTTCCCCAATTCCTTCCAGAAGTTTCAGCTACAGCTTCTATTAGTTTTAGCCTCATAGCCAGTAATCAAGAGTGATGGGGGTTGTTAATTCCAACTAGTTCCTAATTTTCCTATTCTCATTCTAAGGAACTTGGTAAGAAAAGTTAGTTCATTGTGTACTTCAGGTTGTCTTTTTATTTAAACATGTTCAGATTTGGCTTTATTTATCATATTTTTTCCTAACAGTACCCATAATCACATCACAACTTACTTTACACTTACTGAGGCGTGCATTATTTTTGTGTTCCTCATTGCCACTTGTCAAAATCTTTTAGTTTGTGCAGATTACTTTCAGCTTGCTGTAAATGTGTATTCTGTGTTCATATCATGCGAAAAGGTTTCTCTAACTGGGTGATGATAAATCTTGATAGGAGCAAACCTTTTGAATCAAACCTTGTATTTACAGCTCATAAATTTGAGTGTCTGTATCTTTGATTGAGCCTTTATTATGCTGTTAATGAGATGTGAATTTTTGCAACCGGCATAATAATGCAGAAACCTTCTTTCATCTATCCCGTCTACTTTATCCACAGTTTAGTTGGTATAAAGTGCAGTTGATATAAATGTTATTGTTTAATAAATGTGTGGATTGTGTAATGACAATGCATGTTCCTTTTCTACCTATGCATTGAATAGTATAAGGTTCAAGTTGCAGTCCCAAAGGTGCTTTTTCCAAAAGGCAGTTGGACTTTCTTGGGTTTTTTTTCCCCCTTTGAGAGTGTTTCACTTCTCATCGAAGAAGTTTCTTCAGCAGCACTCCTTGACAGAGATGTCATCATTACTGTTAGCCTACTTCAGTGCAAGCATCACCACTGCCACCAAGGAGTACCACCTCAAGCCTTGTAGCACAGCCAGCCAGTCTGTATTCCACTGACATTGGCTATCCACTTCCTCCCGCTTGTGACAAGGCATGCCCAGCTTGGCCCTAAGCAAGGCAGTTCTGATTGCCATCTTCCTGAGACTGTGCATGCTGTTCTCCAATTGCCATACACCATTCTTCAGATGTATAGTCAAGGCTATGGTTTTCCCAGTTGCAATGTATGGTTGAAAGTTGGACCATAAGAAAGGCTGAGCGCCAAAGAATTGAGGCCTTTGAACTATGGTGCTGGAGAAGACTCCTGCGAGTCCCTTGGATTGCAAGGCGATCAAACCGGTCAGTCCTAAAGATCAACCCTGACTGCTTTTTAGAAGACCAGATCCTGAAGATGAAACTCAAATACTTTGGCCACCTAATGAGAAGGAAGGACTCACTGGAGAAGAGCCTAATGCTGGGAAAGATTGAGGGCAAAAGAAGAAGGGGACAGCAGAGAATGAGGTGCCTGGATGGAGTCACTGAAGCAGTAGGTGTGAGCTTAAATGGACTCCAGAGGATGGTAGAGGACAGGAAGGCCTGGAGGAATGTTGTCTATGGGGTCGCGGTGGGTCGGACACGACTTTGCAACTAACAACAACAAATTCTTCAGATCCTTGGGAAGGCTTTAAGGCCTTCCAAAGCTTTGCAAGAAGGCTGCACGCTAAATTGTGAGAAAGATGCAATTTGGAGAACAGTATGTGTGATTTTGGAGAAAGGCAGGAGGTTTCAGAAAGTCTCGGCCTTTGAAGGGTTACGAGTACAGTACACAACGATTTGGAGAAATTGTTGGTCTTGGGAAGAAGGTGCCTCTCATAGGGCCAAGCTAGACATGTCTGATCAACAGTCGGAGGAAGAAGACGGTGAAGGTCAGGTTGGTGTGGCTGAAGTAGAGGAGTGTTGCTATGCAGAGGAGTCCAGCTGTGCAGTGACCAAAAGGGCAGAAATGGGGATGTCCTTCACCTTACTGAGGCTCAGAACTATGAGAGATCAACCTGGGAATGGCTTGGATCGCAGTGGATTCTCACCTGATGACTGCTGGAATTTAATTAATGGAACTCCTCCCGAAGGTGAAGACAGGCGCAGGCTGTTGGGGATGAGTTTGTGTTGTCTCTCTTCAACAGTGAAGGGATACAGGGCAGAAAACATCCTGCAGCCAAGAAGGCGCCACACCTATTTGCACCACTCAGGTGACCCTGAGGACACAGATAAACCTTCAGGTGGCCTCAATGACTCACTAAAAGAATTCAAATGACCAGCTGTCTTAAAGGAGCATAAATCCTTCTGTTCCCCACCATCCAGGCAGAGCTGAAGAAACTTCTTGGATGAGAAGTGAAATGTCTTCAAAAAAAACCCAGTTGCTTCTTGAAAAAGCACCTTTGGGACAACCCTGACCTGGATGACTGAGAATCTCCATAGACATTTAATTAATGAGACAACAGGGAATTCCAGGATTTCTAGATGCAGTCCTGTGACATCATGCTTCATGACTGCATTGCTTAGTGACAAAAATTCTTATTTCCAATTACCATTGTTAACCAAGGATTACTTGTAAAATGAACCCAGATTCCTAATCACTATGTATGTATGCATTTATGTATGAATGCATGCATGCATGTAATATATTTATTTATTTTATTAGATTTATTTGCTGCCTATGATATTCAGATAGGTGAACTATTGGGCCATTAGTTAGGCATATCAAAACTGTTTGATCCAGAGG